TTTATTTTAATTTCTCATTCTCCACTTCACCTCCTAAGTGTCTGAACAGTCCAGAACTTATCTGATGGGGTACCATTGTGTAGTTTTTTGAGAAGACCTTCCACACCTCTGAGCTTCACTCTGCTGTCCTACTGTGCCCACCCATGTCCCTGCCCATTTAACAATCACCACCTTCCTTTCTCAGGCTAGAATATGGGGCTTAGTGACCTAATTTCCTTATTTTTCAGGCTAAAATAATTGGAAAAGTGTTTAAGTTTAGAGATCATGTCCTAGCATCTTTTGTAAGAACGAATATTTGAGCAAGGAAATCAGGGTGTTTTAACAAGTATGGTTGGTTCTGCGTTTCCTTTAGGACTCCCTTTCTGGAACATCAGTAATTTGGCAGTGTTGGAACTATTCACATGGACTAAATGTGACATGTTTTTATAGACAATATGCACTAAATATAAGGAAACAATTCATATTTTAAGAGAATCTAATTAATCCTAATACTGAAGCGTCAGCTGCCAAAATTTTCAAGTATTTCTATTATGTCCAAGGTTATTGTCAGTAATAATGGATTTTGTTTCAGCTCACAAAAATCCATTCCCCCAGAGAGCTGAGCTTATCTTTGAAGCAATTGTGTATTTACAGTTGACCTAAGGATCAGCAGAGTTCTTTGGTTATACTCAATACAGTTCTGAAATGGAATGTCGGCAAGCTCAAGCCTGCCTTCTGAACCTAAGTGGAGTGAGTGTTTAAAGAGATGAGGGAGTCTTGTGTTTCTACCCAGAGACTTCATAGATGTAACTTTGCATTATTGCTCATTGAAGGCATAGCCCAGTGTTTTTGTATTATTTTGGTTTCAAGTGGCTTCAACTAATCAAAATGGAACAAAGCAAGCTAAAGTTACTCTGTACCTTAGAAGCAGCCCTGGAAGATTATGCACCTTGAGAGAGGAACAGGTAAGTTTGCCAGACATTTGTGAGATTCTCCTGTGTGTAGGCATATCATTTGCTTTCTGTGATACAAAAAGGGCCTTTGTCTCCATGATTGTGGAAATGGTGCATTTCATAACCACATGCTGCAAATTAGTCATTTTTAGGATGACCTATGACCTGAGAAGGGCTACCAGTTGGTCCTGAGAGAAAACCTCGACTCCTGCTCTGAAAAGCATTTTCAGAGACTCTTTTAGAACTCGTTTCCTACCTCCTGGGTCCTATCCTCAGTAAATGCAGAGAAGCCACAGCAAACCCCAGCCATAGCTCTATCATGAATAGGCCACAGATAAGTACAAGAAGCACTTATGTCAGAATAGGGCACATATTGAAACTTTTCCAATAAAACTGTAATGATGTGTGAAGGGGTATAAATAGCCCTCCCCCCCACCTTTAAAAAAAATTCTGGCTAATAAGTAGAAGATGAGATTTGGGATTCTTAAGCTTTGCATCCTACTGGATTGATATTGGCAATGATTTGGGTATTTGTGAAGTAGGATTCAGAGCCAAATGGGATTGTGTTTCTTTGAAACTGTGGTGAAGCAGTGCATCAGAGGGCCAAGGAAAGCAGTGGTCATGGAGATGACCCCCACAAGTGGACAGTGTTGGGAATATCTCAAATGGTCAGTGATGTAGTTAAGTATTTGTCTCCTAATACTCTTCAGGCTGTTCGGATCAAATGTAATTTGAGAACATTTCACAACAGGTAATAAATAACATAGAAAAATATATTTGAAACATTGGTATGATTTTTCTTTTCTTTTTTTCTGATAGTGATGTTATTTTTTAATCAAAATTTTTGAAATATAATTGATAGTATAATGTGTTGATTTAATACATTTATATATTACAGTATGTAGCCTTAGCTTATACCTCCATCATGTCACATAATTATCATTTCTTTTTTGTGGTGAGAACATTTAAGATCTAATCTTTTAGAAAATTTGAAGCTTATAATACAATATTGTTGACCATAATCACTATGCTGTACATTAGATCTCCAGAATGTAATCATCTTCTAGTTGAAAGTGTATACCCTTTGAACAACATCCCATTTCCCCCACTCAGCCCCTGGTAACCACCGTTCTACTATGTTTGTACAAGTTTGTCTTTTGTAGATTGCACATGGAAGTAATATACTTTTTATGCTAGTGTGTATGCTCTCCCCTCTATTCTAAGTTAGAGATCCAGTGAAGACTGGCCCTGCCCCCAAACCGGACATTTAGACATAGCTTAGAATTGAATGACCAAACTTACTGATAAAAGTTATGAACATCATACGAGGTGGACAGTGAGGCCAGATGTTGTTTGAGCAGTTTACACAACTGGGCAAATGCAAAATATCACTGTTTCTTTCTCTCACAAATCTGGAAGGCAGTATTAAGGCCTTTTGTCCAGGTATTAGGTCTGTGAGACTGAGTTCTTCATCATTCTAAAGTGTGAAACTACAGCAGATGTCAGAGAAAAGGGAATTTAATATTTTCAAACACTAAGTCCTAGAGTAAAATATTGTATCTGTGGGCTGCATACGAACAGGACTGAATTTTAGCTTGTTAGAGATTCAATTATATGCAGTTGATGATGTGAAAATTAGATCAAAAGAACTTTATACTCTCTCATTCAAAACAGAATAGCTTCAGAGCAGTAAAGAATTGATTTGTTTAGATGCAATCGATAAAAATGACCCAAGTTTCAAGAACTGGGTGGGGCAAGCACACATCAATTCTACTCTCAGCAGCCAACTGCTGATGGTCAGTCTCACTCTCATTTCAGACAATTTATGGAAAAGAAATAGTCACATGGAGAGCTGGGGTACCACAGCAGGCACTTCAGAGAAGTTCCAGGGGTCTCCTGTTCTTCTCCCAAGCGCCAAGGATGCTAACTTCCTGGGGCCCACAGCTGGCTTTCAGCTGCATAAGTTCTCCTTGTATCCGCACCAAATGTGTATGTTGAATTCTTGAAAATTCCAAACATCTCGCTTTTTGCAAGATTTGAAAGCAGCTGTAGAATCCTGTGGTGCGATCCATGTTTCTGAGGTGTATTACCATCTTCTAGACCGGTGACTTTCTTTCCCTCCCAAGTAACTTCTTCAGTTTACCCACATCTGCAGAGGGCAGTTTCTCATTTCCATTTGCCCCATCTACATAAACTTTTGGGGCCTGGATAACTTCACTGAATTGGGAAAACCAGAATTGTTCTTCGGTTTTTCTTTGAAGGTTCAGCCTGCTTTTCTTGGGGTTTTACTATAAGTCTGACATACTGGGTCATTCAGAATACTGTGCTTCTCGAGTCCCTTATCTGAGGCAATTCTGGGTAAACCCTAATAAGGGCTTTCAGACTGGTCTTTACACCTCATGGCTCCTGGGTCATGTGCTTTGTTTTGTCTGGACCTGAATGTGCCAGCAACAGGCAGTGCTGATGAGTAGGGAAGCCCAGAGAGATTTCATAAACTTTTGTTTCTATCACCATATGATTGTTTCTGTCACCATATTCTTCATAGCACAAATGCTCCCAATTAGCGATGCAGTGAAATTTGGGCCCAACAATCTTATCTTTCAGATTGCATAGATTTTGAATGTCCTCTCCACACCCCACTGCTCATCACAGGTGATTCACTAATATGAAGACTCAGTTTTTCAGTATTTATTTATTTATTTATTTATTTATTTTTTAAAGATTTTTTTTCAACGTTTATTTATTTTTGGGACAGAGAGAGACAGAGCATGACCGGGGAGGGGCAGAGAGAGAGGGAGACACAGAATCGGAAACAGGCTCCAGGCTCTGAGCCATCAGCCCAGAGCCTGACGCGGGGCTCGAACTCACGGACCGCGAGATCGTGACCTGGCTGAAGTCGGACGCTTAACCGACTGCGCCACCCAGGC